TCGTGTTGACCCGTTAGCCACCCGTTAAGCTAACGGGTCGTTTCGGTGTCCATTCGCGAATACACGAACCAACCCGTTAAGAGGGGGTAATTTTGTAATTTTCTATTTTTTTTAAAAAAAACCCTAGCATCTCTTTCTCTTCATTCATTCAGCCGCTTTCTTTTCTTTCTCTGCTCTGCAATTTTCTTTCTTTCTCTCTCAAGTTCTCATCTTCTCCTTCTTCTTGCGATCTCTCCTCTCTATGTCTTTGAAGATCTTTTCTGCTGTTAAATCCTATCTTAAGGTATGAATGTTTTTCTTAATTGATTCGGTAAATTTATTTGATTTTCAATATGGAAATTATATATTTATGTGGACTTTGGAAATTATATATTGATGTACTGGACATGTTTGATTTTTCTTAATTTACTCTGCTGTCAATTAGAGATATAGAGGCTTCTGACTTGGTATTTGCTGGAGACACAGAGTGCACGGGAGGAGAGAGAGAGAGAGAGAGAGAGAGAAACATTAACAAATGTTCAGATTATTCCCATTCATTGGAGTTGGACGCCTCCCTGGCCCTCCATAATTCATGGTGTTTTTGCTCTTCACATTTCTTCTTTGTCTGGGGCCTTGCTTTTCCCCTTGCTCTGGCCCTCCATATATATATATATATATATGTTTAATGTTGCAGTTTCAAACCAACAATAAAGCATGAAGAAGAATCAACCTTGTATTTTGATTTAGTGTTACAGTTTCAAACAATTTGATCTTTGTATGGTTTTGGGTTGTATTAATATTATTTATTTTTATGTATAGAATTGATATTAAAAGCAATATTAGAGAAGAATTTTTATGTGCAGTTCACAACAATTTCTGTGAGTTTGGAATTTTCATACTAACTGCTGTCTAACAATTTCTGTGTTTTTTTTTCTTCCAGGAAAATTGCAATGGTGAAATGTTGAAGTTTGGATCATGTTAATGGATTTTTTGGTGTGCAGATCTTCATGGATTACTTCATATTTGTTTTTCCTTTTCCTTTTGTTATGATGGATCATATTCACGGATGTTGATGTTGAAGTTTGGATTAAATTCAAGAATATTAGCTTTTGTTGGAATGATTTTGATTTTTTGGGCATG